CTGTGATTCGGGCTTGTGCATTTCGCAAACAATTAGCAGACGTTGAACTTAAGCTCCTTGGCCATCTGACTGCAAGTTTTCTGTTTGTCTGTGTGTAATTTCTAAGTCAAAGTCAGCAAATATAGCAAATCCGGTCATCCATGGGGATTGTTGCGCCGCTTAGTTCATTGTTCTGTCTTTATCGTGGGCTTAAATCATTTAGGATTTTTCACTGTGGTCTATGAGTTCTTATGGTCAGCAATAAAGGCTCCTTAACGTATTAGCAACATGATGGGCCTTAATGATGGTGCAAAACGATGTAATCCCACTTTACTTGATCTTGGCTTGTATTTACTTGGCAAAATTGCGGCTATCGTTACTGTACTGACCATAGCAGTCGATTCTCCGCTTAAATACCCTGTCTTAAGTGCTGGTAAATTGAATTCCCCGTCCAATCAGTACAAGCCCTCAAACATCTTGTGCAACACTGCATATATCTTTGACGCTCTCGCCGTGGAGGTGTCAACTCGATCCATATATATTCCCTTTTATGTCATCTTTGCAAATCTCAATTTGTCAAATATCGGCTGCTTTGCATACATCAAGCTTTGATGGGCAATAAAATAGCAATGAGCTTGAGCAGCTAAAAAAATGAGAAGCAAAGCACTGTCAAGCCAAAAACAGCTTCCGTTGTTAGCAGAGGCCCCAGTTTTCTATTTGGGCACACATGAGTAGTGCATGAGTGCGCTTAATTTTGGCTGATAAACTGAAAATCAAAGTGAATTCGACAAACCATATTCTTCAACTAACAGCTTTTCGACTGCAATATGCGGCAGATCAAATAGCAATAATCGGCATAACGCTTTAACTCATCCATAACCCATTCTCACAGCATCCGACCCTCAGTAGAATCTGGATGGCTTTGCTCATTTGCAAAAAATGCGCGTGGACTGAAAGATCCTGCGAATCAAATACTTGTAGTGTTATTAGGCCCCAGGTCAGTACCATTCGTATTGTTTACGATATCCGACTAAAATCGTTGGACCGATGTTGTAAATGAAGCGGAATTAGACGCGACTAAAACAGATAAATTGTTATTAATCCTTTGTTCGTGGTAAATGGTTAAATGTCCCAGAGTCTCTGCCACACCTTTGTGAATGAAGATTACCAATACTAAAATCGACCTGGAAGACTGATTTTAAGCCTTCCTTGTAACTTAAGACTATGGTTCGCTAAATTGAAAATGTAATATATGTCTGAAGTTGCAGGTTAATGCAACATTGTTGTGAAGTGGCGTTAGGGGAGAGGTGAAGTGCTTCTACGATTAGTACCGCAAATTATAATCGTCGTGTTTGTTATGACAGTAAAGAAATCAAACTGAAAATGGACTCTTTAGCTGGAATCATCGGAGGTTTCCTCAAGTCGACTTGAAAGGGGCTTATGTTTGGAGCAGAACAACCTCGCATGAACAAGTCAACTTGACACGATTAAGCACGAATGCAGTCAACTGACTGTCCTGACAACACAGTTCGACTGCGACTACCAGCTGTTGATTGTCCAATCGGATGCGTTCCATGAGCAAATGTTCACTCTAGGCCAGTGACTTTAGAGCTGTCACAGCCCCTTTTTCTATCTGTGATCAAGGGATCGTAATTACATCTATTTAAGATTCGGTTGGTATAACCGAGAGACAAAAGACGACATCGATGTTTAACGAGTTTCCTTTCGTCTCAGCCCCTGACTCTGGCACTGCCTCTGATTCATGCAACGAGAAGGACAGTCAAAGGGACGGAAAGTGGAAATCCTTTTCTACCGACAATCCCTTAAGATTAAGGCTAAAGAAGTCGGTGAGCGAAGAGAATGAAATAATACGTAAGTTATTATTCCACCTTTTCCATCTTTCATCTTTCTTCAGTTCGCCTTTCTCTTATTCTCTATTCCTTACTTTAATTTCCATAACTAGGCTATGCGCAGGGTAGGTCATACGAAACTGGAAATCGCGCTTGTGTACACTGTGCTTAATTTGCTCTATGCAACTTGTGATTTGTCTACCCTTGTACAGATTTTATTCACTGAATCCCTCGCAATCCAAATTTCCCTACTGGCTATGAGATTTTTGCAATATTTAACTATAGCTTTACTCTCCCTCACATTCTTTTTTATTTTAAGCTAACGATGCCCAACTCGTTTCGTCTGAAGCAGCTGGTGTTGATTGGGATTCAATGAGCTCCACCTCCACAACTGTCTCTGCGTTTACATCTGCATTCACTGCCGACTCTAAAAGTGTATCTTCCTCAACCCCGACCACCTCACGCAGGTGTGCTAACCAAAAGGACAGGTTGGCCGAGGTTGATCCTATGAATCGGCGAAAATTGGCAAAATGTGGCATCCTTAAAATGCGTAAGTAAATGCCACTTCCCTCTATTACCCTAACAAGCGATTTTTAATGTTTACACTGTACTGCACTCGCGTTGACTTTCCTGCTCTTTCAATTTGCTTTTTTGCGGTCAACATAACATTTAAAATATTTGCACATACTCTAGTTAGGCATACGTCCAAAGCTACACTGAACACGAAATACTCCATTTTCGTTAGAACAACCGCAGGGTCAAACCCTTAATTTTACTTGGCTAGATCACAGTAAACAATCACTTCACTAATTCAATTCCTTTTGTACTGCTGCTATCCCAAATGAATTTGCCTGCTACATGGCCTGACTGTATTTGCGGTGTCATGGTTAGACCGATTTTGAAGCTGGTGCATAATATGAAGCCTAGAATTCCATGCGTCCTGATAAGGAAGTAAGAAAACGAGGTGGTTTCTAATCTTCATCTTTATTTCTCTTAGTGATCAACATTTGTCTTAGAGAGTTCCAATTTACCGGTCGGGGATGAGATAGAATGGCCAGCTAAACAACGAACATGTAAAGAAAAACCGAAAGGCACAAAGCTAAATGTTCTGTTAGCTTTCCAAACAAAAAGTTGGTAAAAGTGTAAAAGAGCTTTGCACCTATCATTCTTTTTGACAGATAGAGATGGAGTAAATGATTAATGATTATTTTACCAAGTAAATTAATGCAGAAAGTCTTATAATGTTTTTGTTTATAGCATAAACTTCCTAAAACTAGCTGCCTTTCCAAATTCAGCCTTTTTACTAGATATGCGGATTGTATGCATTATTTATTTGCATTGGTTATCATGGCTTTTCTTCAGATGGTCGATTTAGCACTGCATTCGGACCCTAGGGTCAAGCTAATTCATTGACGTGTCCGTTACTCACCATGTTAACAGCTATTCTCCTATTTTGGGCTAGTTCGAACCATTGAGATCAATGGATTATAGGCGGGCAAATGGATGGATGAAGAGAAGGCAGACAGGTTGGTAGGCAGTACCCTAAGTTCTGCCAATTTATCAATCCACTTAAAGCAAACTAATTTATTATATGCTACTCAAATAAAAGTGAGTAGCAGCGAGTGCAAAGATGACCTTGCCATTCCGTGTTTTGTACAACACACTTTTAAAGGAACACAATGTGCTATGATTTAGGCCCTTTGCAGAGCGCGCTTGAAGTAATTTGCTAACAGAATGTAATCCACATTTAAAAACGGCATTTGCGAATTTGATTTATTTGGTCGTAGTCCAAACATGTCAATGTTACCAAATTAAAGTACATGTTGAAAGATATCCCTACTCCTGTTTCTGAAAAGACTCCTAAATTTTAAATTGATTTCTTTATAAGTGTAATCATTTGCCAGTTACACAAGATGCATTTTGGCCAAAATTTTGTAACATTGGAATTATTTTAATGAAATAGGTAATTAAATTCTTGATCATTTTTTCGTAAGTCAAAAATTTCTCCCTCGAGAACAAAAGATCATTGATACTAAACGTTTTTCATCCTGTCCGCCTATCGTTAGGTACCACTGTGATGGTTGCAGAATGTTAGTGTTTATAATTTGCCAGGGATGATGGTTGCTTGTTTGAAGCCATTCAACATTAGTGCCTACTGTACAGTGAGCGGTATTACTAGCGTTGTTCTGTTTGTTTGGTAAAATGGACACACTGACATCAGGGTTTGGAATG